TGTAGAGGTCTGTACTTTTTTGACGCAGCGCAAAGATATTAATCGTACCAGTTCTTGAATAATTGGAATTTTATTATTATCTACAATCCAAACAAAATATCCGTTTATGGGCCACTCAGTCCAAGAGGTCACATCGTTATGCCTGATGCCTTATAGCGTGGAAGTAGCAGATTCGAATCTCGCTGTTGTTCCGATCGTATTTATGAGATGTCCTTCTCTGATTTGTGCTATCCGCTTTTCAATTTGCCAAGGGTTTTTAATCACAAAAGCTTGCATATTGCATATATCAATAAATAAAGAAAATATGCGTCCCCATGTTTTTTAAAGATGTATAAGAATTTTTTAATTGCATGGACTGCAATAGTAGCACAACTCAAAAAACACGCTCTTTCAGCAGCAATACTAGCATAACTCATAATTTAACTTGATGGTTATCTTCGTTTAAGCTAACTAAAGCATTTTTTACGCTTCTTGCTTAGCAATGAAAACTTTAAACCCATTTATCTCAAAACTTGATTTTTTAAGTTGTGCCGCTATTGCAGTCCACTAGCGATGTATACATTTTTCTTCAAAAAAGTAATGTGTTTTAAGAAAAAACTGATAATAATAAGACAGCTATGCTTTGATCCATTTCTTTTCACGTTTTGTTTGAGTAACACTTCGTAGAGACGTAATAAGTACCTTTTTGAAAAAAGTGGCAGGATATTACTTTCTAAACCGAGACGACAATTTCTAATGTTATTACCTTTTTAATTCTAAAATATATTGTAAAAGCATGATATCTAAACAAAGCATTTCTAATTTTTAATATATTTTGGTGGACACGAATTATTTCCCAAAAGAGAATATGATTATACTTTATGATACTTGGAATTAAGTAAAAGTACTGAAATGAACATACTGTAGTTTTGGTTTTATAAAGAAGAACCTTTGTCGGTGTTTAAACACACTGAATGATCACGTTATTTATGGGTTTAGACACCGAGGAGGGTTCTGTTATAAAACCGAAATTTCAGCTCTTCTATCTCAGTACTTTTATTGGTGCTTAATTCACGCTGCCTTACTTGATCTACGAATGACTTAGTTTCACTGAAGAAGAAAAATAAAAATGTGGCCTTTTGTGTGTGTTAAAAAACACACACAAAAGGCCACATTTTTATGAAGAACACATGAGATGACAAGGACCTCGGTTAGTTGATTAAGACGCATTAAAGATATAATATAAAAATGCATACTTAAGCAGACTTATAGCAATTTTTACTTCTGACTGCTTAGCCATTAGTTCTTCGTCGAGATTTGATCCATTGAAGAAAGCTCCATTAGAGAGAAATAAAGCTGTGACTGCTCTAGGGGTGTTTTCATGCCAACCCCAAAAAGGGGTGCGCTTACTTTTAAGCCAGGATATTGCTTGAGCCCGCGCTTTGTCAACACCCACTACACTGAGGATTCCGGTATCTGAAATGTGGAATTGATATTAGCCAGTGCTCCAAAAATGACAGATCTTGCGAAAATATCAATTAAAAAAACGGAAGGGTATAGAAATGTAAGGTTTGCTGCATTTTGTTTAGGAAATCAATTAATTATTCTCATCAAGCATTAGTAGCATAATATCCAAATCGCGGTTTGAAGAATAACACAGCTTCATATAAATTTGTTTCAGATTGAGTAGGAACTGGTATTTGTACTTTATTTACGTCGCACTAGAGCTGCACTATGGGCTATTTATTTTTATTTTATAACAGTCGTTGAACAGCCAAACCAATTTCTTGGATTTACGACTGCTGATGTTTAACTTCGTAGCCTTGTAATTTTGAGCCAAAGGGTGACAAGAGGGAAATCCTGGATCAAGCATTGGGAGAAATTTGTCTTTGTGGAGGTTTTTTTTTTATGGAACAAATCCACATTTGCTTACCATGGAAAGTAAATCCTCCCACGGTTAGCCTGACAGCAATGGGACTCTAACGCATGATCCGCCTACCACTGAGGATATTTTATGTCCACTGTGGTCGGTGCAAGCCGGATGCGGAATTTGTATTGACTTGCCATCACTGGGATTCAAACCCGGTTCACGTCATTGGAAGGCAATAGTTCTATCCATAGAACCATCACGGCTCACAATGGGCTGTTTTATTTTATTTTATAAACGTCGTTGAACAGCCGACCCAATTTTATGGGTTTACGGCTACTAATGTTCAACTCCGTAGCCTTGTAATTTTGAACCCAATCCAGAAGACAAGAGAACTCCTGAATCGAGTATTGGATGAACTTCGTGGAGGACTTTTTGATAGAGCTTACCCGCATTTGCGTTCCAGGAGTTAAATGGAGAGGAAGACCACGAGAAACTCCTGTGGTTAGCCTGACGGCAAGGGGACTCTAACCTATGATCCGTCTTCTACTGAGGGTATTTCACGTCAGCACTGTGCACGGTAAAAGCCGGATGCGGAGCTGCCAGTGATGCTATACTACGGTAATCTACTGGGATCTGTCTTAATGATCAGTCCACTGCAGGACGACCAGGAACACAAAGCGGCCATCGGACAATGCTGAATAGATTGTTCCCATCATGCTGTTGGACACTTACATTTATTTGTTGCGGATGAGTATAATACTTTTAGTTTCAAATTAGTTTCAGAATTCTTCGACGGCTGACCTTTATCGAATCATAAGAAAGCGCATATATAGTTAGCAAACGCTTACGATTAATGGATGAATATTTTTCCAGTAGCAGTGAACAAAAGTTTCTTAATAGATAGAACTTTTATTTAAATTTTGTCAAAAAATTAAGAATTATTTGTTTATCTGACCTTTTATATGTCTGTTCAAATTAGTGGTGGGTAAAGGTGGGCAAAATTCGTTTAATTCAAATTTATTAATTCAGCATTGCTATATATTTGCTTTAAGTTATCTGGTTTAATTATTATGGAATATATAAACCGTTTAATTTACTTACCACAACCTATTTCATCAATTCCATTCTTACAATCCTCTATTCCATCACATACTTTAGATTTAGGTATGCAGGAGTGTGAAGAACATTTGAAGCTACCTTTTTTCACACATTCAATGTCTCCTGCGAAAATTAAAGCGAGAAAAAATTAACTCATGGAAACAACGATCAGGGGAAAATATGTAAAGTGGTAGCTTAGCTATGGATGTAACTAATGCAAAGTAAGCTGGCTACAATTTGAAAAAATTAAAAAAGTGGTGACTAATGCTTAGTTAGGTTATCTTATTTTATTTTATAACCGTCGTTGAGCAGCAGACACAAAGCTGGGTTTACGACTACTAATGTTCAACTCCGTTGCATTGTTAAATTTGAATCCAATCCAAAAGACAAGGGAACTCCTGAATCAAGTATTGGGAGAAATTTGCCTTGGTGGAGGACTTGTTAATGGAACTAACCCGCATTTGCGTTACATGGAGAGGAAGACCACGAGAATCTCTCTCAGTTAGCTTGATGCAAGGGGATTCAAATCCGTGATCCGTCTACCACTACTGAGAATACTTCACGTCAGCACTGTGGTCGGTGCAAGCCATCGCTGGGATTCGAACCCGGTTCACCTCATTGGAAGGCGAACGCTCTTTCCTCTGAGTCATGGCCACTTTAGTTAGGTTATCGTAAATTTTGTAGAGTTAATTACAAGTTAATTACACAAATTCAATTGGTCAGATATAACACGTGTATTTATAAATATATTCAATCGATGGTGCTTAGTTAACATATTTTGTTTCATAGTTTCAATTTTTCTTGAATTTGGCTACCATGGGACATTTTTAATTGCATTGACTTTAATTCTATTATATCAGATAGATTTTAGTTCTAAAGTATACTTTTATTTCGAAATAAGCAGTAGTGAATTAAGTAAATCTAAATTGACATAAAAACTTGATAACGAAATAATTTTGCTACCACTCTTTTCTTTTTACGCTGCATGTCAATATCGTATATAAAGAAATAAAAGTTTAAATTGAATAGTAAGTTGGGAAAAGGACCGCTAACGGTCTCAGGCGCCCAGATAAAATTTTATGATGATGATGATGATGAATAGTAAGAATTTAGTACCTATGCCAGTAGTCACAGTTGCCCTAGGGCAAATTATAGATTTAGAGGTTTAGTGCCCGCTAGCGAAAGCAGGTACCTCACCAATAACTAGACAGAGTCGAGTGGAATAAGAATTTAGAATATGCAAAAATAGTAAAATTTGTGGTAACAGACGTGGCAATTTTGATAGTATATGACCAAATCAAATGCGAAGTAAACATTATTTATGGAAAAAACAAGAATTCAAATAGAATTATATGCATTTTTTATTTAAAAAAAAATTCTTGCCCTCTTTCAAAAACAATCCATAACTGAAAATACCACAGCTTATAACCATAAGAGATATTTAGATGTAAAATAAAAAATCTTTTGATAGTAATTATTTTCAGTGGCACCTGGTGGCAAAAATTAAAAACTCAAGACGCGGGGACACCATTTAATTACAATATTATCATTAAGGCAACACATTTTTAGTTACGTAATGTCCTGAATTTCGAAGGAAAAAAAAACCCGATTGCTTATTTATATTTCTATCGCACTTGAACGTGATTCTTAAAATAATGCACCATAAGGTGATTTTAATAATAAAATGATTGACTGACACTATTATTTGGGATTCTTATTATGTATTTTGTAAGTTGTGAAATGATTAATGTGTTGTGATAGACAAAATTGTAAAATATACTATAGGTTACTGCAAGATGGATGGGGAAAGAACCAGTATGGCCTCAGATGCACAGTTCCTAAACAAAAAAGAAGAAAATTGTTCCCAGGAGCCTTCATAGCATAGTGGAATCGCCCACCAAAAGCTGTGAAATGCGAGGAGGGCTGTTACCCTGGATGTATCATTGTGATATCTGTCTTCAATTTATCGTGCTATAAATTGAGCACGAGCATATGTATGTAATTCCAATAAACCAATTCCAATAAAATTATTCCAGGGCTCGAAAAAACTCAGAAATTTTACCCGTCCCCGAGGACGGCTTGTCCAACAATGTACCCGTCCTCCTTTGAAACTAACCCGTAGCTTCTAAATAAATAAAATTATAATTTTCTCTTATTTATTGTAAACATTTATATAGATTGCATAATGAATTAGTAGTTACTAGGATTACAAATACTAGGATTACATTATGCAGTAATAAAAGAAATACTCGGTTACTAATAGTAACCTAGTATTTCTGTTAGGAAAAAATTTATTTCCTTTATGAAATAATTTATTTCTTTTATGAAATAATTTATTTCTTTTAGGAGATAATTTATTTCTTTTATGAAATAATTTAAATTACAAAGGTCAAGTTATCTGGAATGTCAATATATCCGAGGGTACTGCGTTTTTTAAAGGAATCAAATATGACGTTTGCCAGTTCCACAATCAAGCCAATGATTTACAGAGGTTTCTGCACAGAAATCTGAAAGGGGTTTTCCATTTAGGTAGACGCTCATAATTGCGTTTAACGCTTCTTGTTTAAGACCAGTACGCAATGTGTTTTTTT